GGCGATAGTTTTGAACACTGGCTGGTTATGTACTTGCTCAGATATTGATTTCGAATCATTTTTAACCAAAAAAAAGTTACGGACTGAAGCTTTAATTTTGCATTTTATTTTGGCCCATTTTCTGTCTGTCATCTTCATTCTAATCACAGATCATTTTGTTAACGTCAGGCCATAAAGATTATAGATAAGGTCACAGTATGTTTTCCCACTTCTCTCTAGTTTCCCTAAATTCAGTCTCTATCGTCACCTTGTAATTAATTTGTAATGAACTTTATACTGCCACCTATCAGCCTGAATGTATAGAAGCTTATTTTTGTTATTCCGGAATAAAAAATAAAAAGGTAATTGCAACTTTTTATCTCACAATTCTGACTTTTTCTCACACTTGTGAGTTTATATCTCACGATTCTGACTTTATTCTCACAATCGCAAGTTATAAACTCATACCTGCGAATTTACATCTCGGAAGTCTGACTTTACATCTTGCAATTCTTTTTTTATTTTTTTTTATAATCTTACAATTCTGGCATTTTTTCTTGCAGTTGCGAGTTTATATTTCACTATACTGACTTTTTTCAGAATTCTGAGTTTGCATCTCACAATTTTGATTTTTTTTCATAGAATTCTAACTCAATGTCTCACAATTTTGCATTTTATTTTGGCCCATTTTCTGTCTCTGTCATCTTCATTCTAATCACAGATCATTTTGTTAACGTCAGGCCATAAAGATTATAGATAAGGTCACAGTATGTTTTCCCACTTCTCTCTAGTTTCCCTAAATTCAGTCTCTATCGTCACCTTGCAATTAATTTGTAATGAACTTTATACTGCCACCTATCAGCCTGAATGTATAGAAGCTTATTTTTGTTATTCCGGAATAAAAAATAAAAAGGTAATTGCAACTTTTTATCTCACAATTCTGACTTTTTCTCACACTTGTGAGTTTATATCTCACGATTCTGACTTTATTCTCACAATCGCAAGTTATAAACTCATACCTGCGAATTTACATCTCGGAAGTCTGACTTTACATCTTGCAATTCTTTTTTTTTTTTTTTTATATAATCTTACAATTCTGGCATTTTTTCTTGCAGTTGCGAGTTTATATTTCACTATACTGACTTTTTTCAGAATTCTGAGTTTGCATCTCACAATTTTGATTTTTTTTCATAGAATTCTAACTCAATGTCTCACAATTCTGTTTCATTTGTTTCTGCCACAGAATAATAAAAAAATAAAGTTAATTGTTACTTTTTATCTCACAATTCTGACTTTTTTTCTCAGAACTGGGAGTTTATGTCTCACAATTTTTACTTAATATATTTTTTTTTATAATCTTACAATTCTGGCATTTTTTCTTGCAGTTGCGAGTTTATATTTCACTATACTGACTTTTTCACAATTTTGATTTTTTTTTAACTCAATGTCTCACAATTCTGTTTCATTTGTTTCTGCCACAGAATAATAAAAAAATAAAGTTAATTGTTACTTTTTATCTCACAATTCTGACTTTTTTTCTCAGAACTGGGAGTTTATGTCTCACAATTTTTACTTAATATTCCACAATTTTGAGTTTATGTATCTTGCAATTGCGAGAGGAACAAATCTAAATTGAGATTGTGAGGAAAAAGTTTTTATTCCATGGCAGAAATAAGCTTCCATATAGATGCAAGATCACACAAAAGCAAGCGTTTTTAGTTAGTGGTGCTTTTCAAAAAGGCAGACAAGTTTATCACCAGTAATTGATTTATTCTGCAACCAAAAGTGTCCGATAATTAGGGGGTTACTGGGATGAAGTGAGTATTATTTGGTCATGTGATCTCATCTTGGCGGTCACCATGACAGGGCGACCCTCCTTATGTAGAATAGAACGTAAAAAAAGAACTACCTAAATATTATTTGTAAGTATTGATTTGCATTAATCCTCTTTAGTCATGAAGTTTTCCACTTACTCACTTACAGAATCAATCACTATTCTTTCTAATCAGTCACTTTTCAAAATAAGTCAAGCAGGGCAAGAGCATTTTCCTGTTAACATAAACAGGTTTTTAATGCAGCTATGTTTTAATTTTAGGTCATGTTCTCCACTGCTCCAGACTGCACTAAGACTCACTGGAAACAGACGGTGTTCTTACTAGAAAGCCCTATCCCCGTCAAAACCGGTTTGTACCCTGTTCACACATGCTTGCTACATGTTTTAACTGTCTCCACACTAGTGTTTGCGAGTACTTGTGTCTGTCTTTAAATTGTGATGAGATCTGGCAAGTACATATGCAGCCATCACCTTTCTTTAAAACACATAAAAAAAGATGTGTGTCACAGGGAGGTGTATCTTATCTTTCTTTACCCTGACAGTTGATTCTTAGACGGTGACACAGGTTATCCGTCAGTCATTGAGAGATAGACACATGATGGAGCAGTTCTAGAGCTCGTCCACATAAACCATGCAGTTTGTTCTTTCTGTTGATAAATATATATTATGATATATATTGTGTCTTGAGAATCATTCCTACAGGGTTTTGAGAAGACACAACACATCAAGTCTGTAGACAGATTTATTTTGGGGCATTGTTTTTTTGATACCTATGTTTTATGTTGTTCTAACACAGTATATAAAGCCATGATCCACACTCAACAAAAATAGTCTTCTTTTTGCGTTTTATTTTACATTCATCACCAGTAGGCTTTATGTTGTTCTAACACAAAATCATATAACCAGTTGAGGTTGTGTGCAATCTGATTACATGGTATTTTCACATAGATCCAATAATCAATTGATTTCTTTTAGATTAGATTATTCAACTGTATTGTCTTTGCTAATGTTACAGTACAAGGCAACGAAATACAGTTAGCATCTAACCAGAAGTGCATTGGTAGCGGTTATTTACATATATACAGTTGAAAATAAATATGAATGGGTAATAAAATATGAATAATCTGAACGACAGAAGCAGTAGATATAAAAAGGAGGGGTGTATACAGTGAGAACAGTAGTTAGGAATAGTGCAATGGAGAAATATTTTGTGTACAAAAAAAACAATATGATATAAGGTTATGAAAATTATTAACCGTGAGCCCAAAGGATTATTTCTAAAAATTATTTCTTGTGAGCCCAACATATTTTTACCATTTAACACATTTTTAGATATGCTTACAAAGCATTTACAGTGGGGAAAAAAAGTATTTAGTCAGCCACCAATTGTGCAAGTTCTCCCACTTAAAAAGATGAGAGAGGCCTGTAATTTTCATCATAGGTATACCTCAACTATGAGAGACAAAATGAGAAAAAAAAATCCAGAAAATCACATTGTAGGATTTTTAAAGAATTTATTTGCAAATTAAGGTGGAAAATAAGTATTTGGTCAATAACAAAATTTCATCTCAATACTTTGTTATATACACTTTGTTGGCAATGACAGAGGTCAAACATTTTCTCTATACTCCTTTTTCAGTTGCATTTATGTGTTAAAGTAGTGATGTTAGTTTATCTTATTGATTTAGTACAGTTGTTATAAAAAAAAATGAATGCATTTAATAATGACGATTGCGAAACACACATCTAAACTTTTTAACTTGATTTGGCACTTGATATGACATGATTTAGTTCTATTTATTAAAATTAAAAGATAATAACCGTACATTCCTGTAATGTATCCTACAAAAATAGGAATCTTTTCAAACAATGTTAAGAATTACAATTGACATTCTTCTCACTTTACTTAATACATGATTTGTAACTTGTGAATTTAAATTGGATTTCTTTTCTAAACAATAACAGTAATGTGTTTTGTGTTGTCAAGCTGTCATTTGCGTAAAAGAAAAAATATTGTTAGAATGCATTCCTGTCAGCTTCTTCTCTTGTTTGTGTTTGTTTAGTAATTACTTTTCAGAAGTGTGGTGAGAGGGGAGGTAAGAGTATTCAACGAAAATGCAAAACGCCTTCAGATTCTGTCGCATCAATTAAAGCAGCCTTCATTTGTCATGATTTAGTTGGTTTTGCCGATCATTAAAAGGAAAAGATGAGAACGTTTCCTTGAAAAGCTTCATTTGTCATGCGTAACCAACCTTTGAGCTTGAATAAAAGAGGTCACCCTGTGTTGAATGGTCTTGGGACATTTTGAGGGTAGAAAGTGATTTGCACATCACGTCTGCTCTCCAAATAAGGTATTCTACAGCCAAAATGTTGGCAATAGACTTTAAGAACAAGGCTGCTTATTGAATCAACCATGCAATGCTTTTTTGTAGTGTTTTAAAGTAGTTTAAACTCACAGGAAGTGCAGTCCGTCTGCAGTGTGAAAAGGTCCTTGAGGTGTCAGAGCAAGGTTCCTTTAGGGGGAGGTGCGATTATTTGATAGACGGGGGCACCGTGGTGAGCTGGTGATTCCGAAGGCCTGTTTTATGCATCTCCTTTACAGGGGCCGCAGATTTATGAGGTTATGCGCTGCAGAGCGAGAAAGAAGTTTTATAATGCAGCTTTTGTATCTTGTGATGCAGTGTTTGGGAAGGCTTTTCCTGAAAACTGCTATGATTGGACATTAGATACATTGATATTTAATTATAAGTCCATGCTGCAAAAATAATCTAAATAGTCTTTAAGTGGATAGTTCACCCAAAAATGAAAATTCTGTCATCATTTAACTCCAAATCCATTCCAAATCTGTACAACTTTTCTCTCTCTTTTTTTTTTTTTTATGCAATGAAATCATTAAATAGACAAAAACAGTTCTACAAAATTTGTGTTGCCTAAAAGAAATGAAGTCATACAGGTGTTTAGAGACATTAAGATGAGCAAACAATACATAAGTTTCATTTTCAAGTGAACTTTCCCTTTAAATTAAAGGAATACTTCACCCAAATAATTTACCAGTAGGCCACCCAAGATGCAGATGAATTTGTTTCGTCATAGGAACAAATTTGAGAAATGTATCATTACTTCGCTTGCTCACTAATGGATCCCCTGCAGTGAATGGGTGCTGTTAGTCCAAACAGCTGATAAAAACATCACACTAATCCACAAGTAATCCACACCACTCCAGTCCATCAGTTAATGTCAAATGAGGGAAAAGCGGCATGTTTGTAATAAATAAATCCATCAAGCCGTTTTAATTTTTACATTTTTAACTTTCGCTTCTATACAATAATCCAAAATAGTCCATAATCCATAATAACTGTTTTGGGATGTTTGCTTGTAAACAGTGCCTAATCTTTGCATATTTTTCTCCTGATTCAGATGAGACAGCTTTATCACTGGAAAAAGCAATATTATGGATAGAGGACTTCTAATGGTTAAAGATAATGGTTTGGAGTGTTACAAACTCTTGGTGCGTAAAGAAGATCTGTAAAGTTGCAAAGACTAAAGTCTCAAATCCAAAGACATATTCTTTATAAAAGTTGTCAACCACGCCTACCTAAAACGGCTCGTTCTAACACGCCCCCACATGTCTACGTCACGATGTGGGAAGATTTGCATAACGCCGCCCAAATGTTAGAAAGGCGGGGCATAGAGGAGAAACAGTCATGTACAGTATGTGGAAAATAATGTGTTTTTTTAACCTTAAACTGCATAAACACATTTCATTACACCAAATACACAAAATAATGTTTTTTTTAGCAACATCATATGACCCCTTTAAATAAATGTTTGTGTAGAATATGACGCTTGTTCTGTACATTTGCACACCAGCTTGTTGATTAGCAGTCACGTTTCTTCAAGGAATTCATCAAGATGTTTTACGTTGTCTCGTCCATTTCTTGTTTCAGCCTCTGTCACCCTTGGTTGCATTGGCATGTTTAATGCAAATGGCACTGTGATGTATGACGGCTCTGGAAGCAGCCTTGTCTCCTTCATTTAATTAACATGCACCAACAGCTTCTTTCTCATAGATCGCCAATCTTTTTCTCGCCTCTACTGTCAGAATAAAATCTTGCAGTAACTACATTCCAAACTGCTTTACTCTGAGATTTAACCAGGAATTGTAGGGTCAAGTAATTTCACTCTCTGTGTCTCTTGGTTCTCTCTACAGACCTCTGTGTATCAAAGCCCATTAGCAGTAACTGGGAAAGTGTTTGTTATGAAGTGCAGACACACACCAGTGTGATGCACACAGCCATTTTCTGCAGGGCACTGAAGTTTAATAGATCTTTCTATCATTTGTGCTCATGCTGGTCAAGAGAAAACCTACTGTGCATGATTTTTACTTTTCATAGGCAATATGTGATCTGTCAAGTCTTTCACTGCACAGCTGATTTTAATTAAAGGATTTCTTGCTAGATCAATTGTTTTACAAAAAAAATTTAATTAGGCTTCAGCTATTTATTTGTGCTTTTTCACTATTGAACAAATATTTTGATGATTTCTATTCCTGACATATTAATGCATGGCTTGTTTGCCAAGCAGTAGGCAAAAAGCATTAGGTAAAAATGGAACTGGAAAATTTATTACGATTCCCAACCCAATCGTAAGACATTTTCCAGTTCCAGTTTTGCCTAATGATTCCAGTTCCGATTCCATTAACTATTTTTATTAAAATTATTAAGGAAAATCAGTTAATTCCATTTTTATGACCACAATTTCATCTGTTTTTAATTTTCATTTTTTTTTGGTAATGCTCCCAACGCTTTGCTCACGCGTTTCACCAGAACTGTTTTCAGATCCGAATGAATAATGAATTTTGCACAATTTTTTTTTGCAGTATTTTGCAGAAAACGGAGTTAGTTGTGTATTAGAACCTTTGTTGGTTCTCAACCTTATTAGTGCATGCTGAAGGTTTGTCGTCTACCCCTTTAAATGCTTGAGTATAGTGTGGAAGCCCGTTTCTGCCATGGAACAAAAAAAACAAGGTATTTGTGAATTTTATCTCACAATTTCCATCTGAATTGTGAGATATAAACTCAGAATTGTGTGATATAAATGTTGTGTCCAAAATCAAAAACGTATTTACTGTATAGTATAAGAAAAACAGTATGCCAAAAGAGTAGTATGTCTGAATACGTAGTATTCGAAAAACAGTAGGCAAAAAGTACCGAGATGTGCATTCAATGGACACTTTACTATCCCATGAGGCCATGGGAGAGGATTTGTGAATGGCTGTGAAACAACACAACTGAGCTGGAGGTCACATGACCATATCAACATAGTGGATCTAGTACGTCCCAATTTATTTTATACTACCCATATCATCCTAAACAGAACATACTTTTTTAATGGTCACAAATTAAGTTCAAATTCAAATGTAGTACCTACTCAGAGAGTACATGACGCACCACAAATTCTGACTATTTCTCACCATTCTGAGTTTACATCTCGCTATTCTGACTTTTTTTCTCTGAATTCTGAGTTTATATCTTGCAATTCTGACTTTTTGATTTCGCCACGAAAGAAAAAGGTAATTGCGGCTTTTTATCTTGCAGTTCTTACTTTGTCTTGCAATTATTGATTTTGATCTCGCAATTTTCCTCAATTTTGAGAAAGAAGTCAGAATTGTGATATGTAAGTTAAGAATTGCGAGAAGAAAAGTCTGAATTTTGAGATAAAACGTTGCAATTACCTTTTATTTTTTTTATTCCATGGTGGAAACAAGCTTCCATATATTCCTTTGTGGCTGTATAGTTGTGGTATAGACTAGAATTAGAAAGATTATTTAAACTTTATAGTTTTTATCCTTGGTGTGAACAGGCCTCAACAGTCTTGTACTTGCATCCAAAAGTAACTTTTTGGGGGGAAGGAAAAGTGAATTGTAAAAGAATGAATTTTTAATGTTCTTTTAAGGGGATCATTTGACCGTAAAAGGTAGAAGTAAGAAAACCAATGTGACAGCTGCAGCGTGCTGTGACGGTCACATCTGACTTCTCCCCATCTCCTCATGTCAAAATGCTGCAGTCAGCATATTTTTATCTCATGTAACCTGCAGCAAAGAAAGAAATGGCGGGGGGCGGAGGGCTTGTTTGCCAAATGGGTAAACATTCATTTACATCTGGCAGTGAAACGTGAAGTTAATCAAAGTGATTATCTGGAGTAATCATCGTCATTGTCTTCAGGCCTTCCCGATAAAATGTGCTGCCTGTATTCCTACTGTAGTCGTACTGTAGCAAGCAGCAGCTTTCTCTGCCATCTGGAGCCAAGTGGCGTCTCATCTTCCCCTGATTCGCTCTCAGCTTTTTAATCGCATCTTTCTCTTCTCAGCTGCATGGTTTCAGTTTTGTTCAGTGAGAGGCGGAAGACATTTCCACTTTTGTTATTACACAGCTCTGAGTTTTGACAGAAAAGTGTCAGTTGTGGCTGAGCTGTATGGTAATAAAAAGTGAATATTTACTCTTGTATGTAAACGCATGCCAGGAAAGCTCAAATATCTTACATTTCAAGCTGGTGTGAAGGCATGTCACAATGTAGATTGATTTGTGTCAAATCCCGTTTTTCACGCTCTATTTTTCCTTGTGCAGGAGAGGAACTTCCAGGTCAAATCGTAGTGCATAAGAACAGAAAGGACCCCAGAGCGCTGCTGATCACACTTGATGTCGTTGGCCGGAAGCAAACCTACAGCCTCCAGTGAAGAAGTTGTTTTATTGGGGGGAAAACACATACTTGGAGCAATGCAGTGTTTAATAACTGAAACTTCATATTAAAAAGTTTTTCTACCAAATGTCAATCATTCGTGGGTTGTACATTTAGCCGATATTGTCAATGTTTTTTACACAACTTGTTCTCCCTGTGACAATTAACAGGACCTTACACTGAGTCAACAACTTGGGCAACTAATGAAAGTCAGATTTTGTTTTAAACCTCTTAATGTTCATATATTAGGGCCTGGAAGAAGATTGATTTCCTACTTGTTTGAATAATGACTTGAGTGAATAAAGTAAAAGCTTCCATGAAATTTTAATGGTTTTATGTTTACCATAAAAGTGACACTAAAGTCCCCTGAGTCCTTTTTGTTTTACAAAGGTTAGAGACGCAAGATGGCGATAATTAGTTATGGAAAGACCTATTTATTTCCACAAACCGATAAAAAAAAAAATTTGTTGGTTCTCAACCTTATTAGTGCATGCTGAAGGTTTGTCGTCTACCCCTTTAAATGCTTGAGTATAGTGTGGAAGCCCGTTTCTGCCATGGAACAAAAAAAACAAGGTATTTGTGAATTTTATCTCACAATTTCCATCTGAATTGTGAGATATAAACTCAGAATTGTGTGATATAAATGTTGTGTCCAAAATCAAAAACGTATTTACTGTATAGTATAAGAAAAACAGTATGCCAAAAGAGTAGTATGTCTGAATACGTAGTATTCGAAAAACAGTAGGCAAAAAGTACCGAGATGTGCATTCAATGGACACTTTACTATCCCATGTGGCCATGGGAGAGGATTTGTGAATGGCTGTGAAACAACACAACTGAGCTGGAGGTCACATGACCATATCAACATAGTGGATCTAGTACGTCCCAATTTATTTTATACTACCCATATCATCCTAAACAGAACATACTTTTTTTAATGGTCACAAATTAAGTTCAAATTCAAATGTAGTACCTACTCAGAGAGTACGTGACGCACCACAAATTCTGAATTCTGACTATTTCTCACCATTCTGAGTTTACATCTCGCTATTCTGACTTTTTTTCTCTGAATTCTGAGTTTATATCTTGCAATTCTGACTTTTTGATTTCGCCACGAAAGAAAAAGGTAATTGCGGCTTTTTATCTTGCAGTTCTTACTTTGTCTTGCAATTATTGATTTTGATCTCGCAATTTTCCTCAATTTTGAGAAAGAAGTCAGAATTGTGATATGTAAGTTAAGAATTGCGAGAAGAAAAGTCTGAATTTTGAGATAAAACGTTGCAATTACCTTTTATTTTTTTGTCATTTGCATACGTATGTCTAGCAACAGGCTTGAAACATTAAAGACCGAGCATTCACTTAGTGATAGCAGACAAATGAAGCACGCCGATATTGTAGAACAGGGGTGTCAAACTCAATTCCTGGAGGGCCAGAGCCCTGCAGAGTTTTGTTCCAACGCTGCTCCGACACATGCCATTTAGTTTTCAAATAAGCCTGAAGGACTTGATTAGTTGGATCAGGTGTGTTTAATTAGAGTTGAATCTAAACTCTGGAGGGCTCCGGCCCTCGACAACCCTGTTGTAAAAGATAGGTTGCCTTGAAATAGGTCACCTCTGAATGCCACGATTAACCAATCAGAATAAAGTTTTCAGGGAGCTGTGTAACATCAGGACCTGTCCACTAGGGAGATCCTCAAATATTAGCTTAATTAGCTTAAAACGTGTAAGTGACGGGATCCAGGAAGATAAACAAAAGCTTGTTGTTTGAATGGCAGTCAGTGATGCCTCGTCTGCGACCCCAAATATACTTTACCTTAAGTATGATTTAGTATAAGGCACTACTGTACCAGCTCACTTCCATGTGTTTGTTCAAATATCCACACTTGCGGTATTGCCCCCTTAAGTGCGTGTGCACGAAACCAGCTTTTATTACTACGATTGCGAGAAACTGATCATGTTAAAAGCCCTTTATTCCATATCTTACAGGCACGTTTTTTGTTCTTTTAACAAAAAATGCTAACAAGACAAATGACCATCGGTTGATGCATAATCTTATCTTACGTAGGCTAATTAATTATAGGGTGAAAGAAAGTAGAGAGAACTAATTTGTTTCAACGTAATTTGTTCCTTATCAGACCCAAAGTGTGCACTGTCATTTTTATGGCAAAGCAAAACAAGTTCGGAAAATACCCGAATGCAAAAATTGTATTCAACACAAGACGGTTCCTATTTTGAAACTGAAATGAATAGCCCGAGAAATTGAATTTTTGGTTAGGCAAGTGTTTAACTCGTATGTCGTTGAAAGACTAGGCTACATGTTTCTGTTGGTTCTTTCTAACTTAAAACGAACAGTGTTTCTCTTCAACGTGCTTTAAAGAGAACAAATAAAGGTGACACGGAAAGAGAAGCAGAAATCAATTACAATTATTCTCTGTTGACAAAGCAATTAAACCCAGAGCGAAGAGCTAATGCAGCCGTATAGAGGCTTATCACAGGCGGCCGCAGATTTATGATGGTCACTGAAGCAGCGTGCATGTATAGAGTGATATCAAGACTGAATAACAACTTATTACGTTATTACATTTCTTGATTAACTGGTTGGGCACTTTATATTAACTTTAATCAAAAGATGTTATTACATAATCTTTAACAGCTCAGTACATTCAAGTGGGAATCGACTTAAATGTAGTTATTTGGTCTATATAATGCGTGTTCAAGTTATTCATACAAGTTAATATATATTACTACTAAATATTTCATAAAGATGCTATGTTCAATTCAGTGCTTCTCTGTTAAAAAAAAATGCTACTCCGGGGGCTGATGCATGGATGCTCGGTGCACTGTGGTTACATAGCTAAAAATAGAAAATTACTCCTCCTTTGTCTTGCGTAAAAGTTTAACAAATGAGTGCCTCCACTCCTCTGAAAACCTCGCCCACTTTTCACACTTGAACAATATATAGGCTACCATTACTCAAATAGCATACTATAGAAAATATGCAACACAAGTTTTTATAATGGTGTTTCATAAAATTCCAAAGTCAACTGCTTGGTTGTAGACCTAGTCATTCATGTAAAATATAAGCAACTTCGTTCAGAAATCATATTTCCATGACCTTATCTAAAAAATTTTTTTTTTTAAATGCCAGACTTGACGCAGATCTGTGCACAGCGTGTAAATAACCTAACTGTGATTAGACATCATTAAAAAACATAAAATGGGCCTGTTATCTATTTTTAATAAAATCGTATGATGAAAAGTCATTAGATTTATCTATATGTATAGGTATCGGTCAACTATGCAGTCCCCACGATGCCTGCGTCTGCAGAATCTTCTCTGTGCGTCAGATGAACATCTTTACATAGTCCCGAGGGACAAGTTTATTAATCAGTCACGAGCCAGTCCGACCCAAACGTATAGTCTCGCGCTGCTTTGTGTGTCACGAGCTCACGTCTTCGCTTGTTGCCCCTTTAAAAATCAGAATTGAAGGCCAATGATTTATCAAAGCCCTATTATCAAGAAAATGTCATGCGTAGGGTACCTTGCCATGCACTGACGCAAACCCGATCTTTCCCACGGAGATATAGAAAGCTTTGCACTTCGCACAGCCAAACTCAGTCTGCCTGCCGTCTTCCCAGCTGTTTTCTGCTATTAACCCACATTTGTCGACTCTGCACAAATGGTAAGTACAGCACATTCATTACTTTACGCTTTGCGTGTTTTTGCTGTGAACAGTTCACCGATTATTTAGAACAGTACAAAAAAGTTTTATTTGTGAGTGCACTAATCAACGAAGTGCCGCTGTCCACGGTGCTGAAACTTTATGGCAGGCGTTTTCACGTCTTTTCAACTGCAATATTAGTTATACAGTAGGCTATATGTTAGAAGAAACTATCACGTTAAAAAAATGAATACAAATGTATAACCTTAGTAGTAGTTATATTCATAGAATGACAGACGATTTATTTTATTTTTATTTTTTCGGTGTGCAGATTGCAGACTATTTTAAAAGGGGTTTTAGGGTAGTGCTCTCCTATGGTGCAATGTAATTGCTGGTGTAATGTTCCATGTTTGCACCCGGGTTCGCATTACACACTTACACCGGGACTGGTGCCTGCCGCAGGGGGGGAAGCCTTGGCCGAGCCCGGCAGCTTGTATATTGCCCATAAAACCAGGGGATGTGCCGGGGTTGAATGACAGGAGGTAAATGAGGCGTAAAATTAAAGAATCCTTTTCTAATGGTAAAAGCAAGAAGCAAACAGCTACCGTCCGTGAGCTGAAAATCAAAGAAGTGGAGCAGACATGTCCAGAAACGGTCTAGCATAAAATACATTGCAGAAGTTATGATAGCGTGAACATTTTGCCTAGGGGTAGGTTTATTTAAACATGTTGGGTCACTGTAGGTGTGAAAAAGCAGTTAATTATTACGTTAATTATACTCATCCTGTCTAATGTGTATTTAACGTTGCAGGATTTTTCTGAGCACGGGGAAATGTTGAGACGACCGTCAAACGGTATTCCGCCCCAGCCTTCTGGGGGAGCGGTTGGAGATACAACTACTAACAAACCGCAGAACGGGAACCCGGTGCCCCAACCGCCGCCTGTAAACGAACGGAAAACTTTTTGTCCCTCGGAAAATAAACCGTGCGAAATGGAAGCCAGTAAAGCATACGGGACGTTTAAAAACGCCGCACCTGGACCCACGTTTGCTCCCGTTAATTCTGCCGTGCGCAAGGATTCCGTCGGTAAACTGGATGGTTCGACCGGTAAAGCCACATCGGACTTCATGTCTAACAATCAAAGTGCTGTAAGGATCGCGGTGGAGCATAACAACACCACCGGTGACTGGACCTCCATGAGCCAGACCACCATCATCCTGGGTACAGATGGCAATACATCTGTTCTGCCTGGCACGGTGACCGGGGTAAGTGGTTAAGGAACGTTTCATTCCGGTTGAATCAGCCAATCACCCCTAAGCGTAAAGCTATCAGACGGGGAGAGTCTTGAGCAAAAAACAAAAACTACGATTTTGTTTTAAGTGCCGTATTTTGCATTGTAAAACCGAAGGAATCCAAAAAGGAGTCCGTTGCGATCGTTACAATTTAAATTTTGTTCGCGAGACCTTCACTTGCGTTTGTTTAAAAAATGTATATATATATATTTATTAAAAATTATAATGATAACTGTCATTTGGCGCCACCACAAGCACTATTATCCTTAAAAATATATATTATTTTATTGTGATATTTAAACGTACACTTAGCGATAAGTAGTACGGTTATTTGGAGCAGCGTTGTGTTTCTATGGTTACCTCCTCTTAAAAATAAAGGTGCTTCAAAAGGTTCTTCAAGCGATGCCATAGAAGAACCATTTTTGGTTCCACAAAGAACCATTCAGTCAAAGGTTCTTTAAAGAACCATCTCTTTCTTACCTTTTTGCAATCTGAAGAACCTTCTTTCGCCACAAAGAACCTTTTGTGAAACAGAAAGGTTCTTCAGATGTTAAAGCTTCTTTATGGAACCATTTAGACGAAAACGTTCTTCTATGGCATCGTGAAGCACCTTTATTTTTAAGAGTGTAGCCGAAATCTATTCGCTGGCGTCTATTTGGCGACAGGTACAAATGCGCTGTGACTAACTTCTTGGTTTTTTTGTAGGATTTTACAGTTACTGAAAAGTTTGAAACCTATATGCACTTATATGAAAGCCCCCGAATCGTTTGTTTGGACTTCCCCATAATTTGCGCCGTTTTTACTGTCTAAAATCACGGGTTTGGTTCGGCTATATGTTCTATGCAATGTGCTTCAATCAGTAAAAAACAAAGACGGCTATGGTCATTAGTGATACACGGCTCTCATATTAGAATAAGTCATAGAAGTGTTTTGGACAGAAGGACATTGTTCTTTAGTCTCTCAAAAGTGAGCAGCAAAACTAAATCTGTTTCCAATCTGGAACGATTTGGACAGAAGTGATAGTGATTAGTTCTGACAGCACAATAATTACAGCAGTTTTCACGAACAGGTCGAATCAGAGGATGTGTCAAGGAACCAGAATACATCAAATGCTGTAGGCTATGTAGGACACTGCATTGCCAATGAAACAACCCCCTCAGATCAAGAGTTACAACATCTGCTTTATCATTTGAAATGAAGCTGCTGAGCTGTGCATGTAGGCTATGCCTGCGACTTGTGAGGTTTATTGTCCTCAGAGATTGCTTTCTGATGGCTGGTTGTGTTGCAGGATAATGTGTTATAATATGTTATCTGCTTATGGTACAATTCCCTTTGGGGTGTTTCATCAGAGCCAAGGGCGACCCCTTTATTCCCTGGTCACGGTTGTTGGGGGAGCATTTAGATTTTTTTTTAAAATGATGACATATTAATACCTCTATAATTTAATGACCCATAATTTGTCACAATAGTTAAAAATTAAGTATATGACAATGCAGCCCGCATCCGATCATACGAAATACTTAGTGGACTCTTCTTTCAGGATGATGGTGATGATGATGATGATGGAGGAGATGAGAATAAGGCCCGGGGGAACTGGTCCAACAAAATGGATTTTATTCTGTCCATGGTGGGATATGCCGTGGGTTTGGGAAATGTGTGGAGATTCCCATATCTTGCTTTTCAGAATGGTGGAGGTGAGAGATAATTAAGGGACAGCATGCAAGAAAATATTAGGAAATATTTTTTTTGTTTTTACTAGAGATCCCTCTCCCTCAGACCCCCCCCCCCCAACACCCCTTCTTTTTTGTAACTAAAATGCGCAGTGCGCAACCTGTATTTCAGGATTTCAGGAATTAAGAAGCCTACCGCTCAATTTAGGCTATTCAGTGTCATCCTGCTCTCTTTATAGCCCAAACACAACTGTTTCTCCTCATTACGCCAAAAGTTCTTATTTTGATGACTTGACAGATTTTTTTTATCAGCTACAGAAACTGTAAAATCAAGTTGCATTTTAGTACCATCATGCAAAATGAATAGATTTTGTGTTTTTATTTCATTTAGGACTATTGTGTCACACTTGAAACGTGCGATTAGTGAAATAAATGCTGTTTGCTACTTATCAGAATGAGTTTAGCTTAAAATCTAATTTGAATAAAATCTCGGGTGTTTTATTATGCATTTGATTTAATTTCCCGACATTTCTACGTTTGAATTCGTTTTAAAACGCTTTTCTCAATGTCGTGCTTTTGGTGAATTCAGCAGAAAATCTGCTTGCTTGACAAATTTACTGTAAGAGTTGGTGCAGTGCCGCAGTGAGATGCACTGCCACCTCGTGGCCTGTTTGAGTAGCGCCACTACCACCGACTGAATCAAATTGTGTACAGTATTGCAGTTGTGTGTGAATTGTGTAGGCCTATCTGTACGACGTTTGATTGATTTCGTGCACTTAATTTGTTTAAAGAATGTTTCTCAACTAGGCAGAGAATGACGATGGAAAACAGGGGCTTTTTTCACGTTCATTCCAAGTTTTCATTATTTCTTCTGGCCAGACTCCTGTATACTAAGGGACAGAAACATCACATCAATCAAGAACACTACATTCTGTGTATCTGCAAATGCTGTCGGGAATTTAAGTAAACTGTTAAATATCACAGCGGACAATAAAACCTATGTCAGCCCTAGTGAGGAATATTTCAAGTAAGTGTGCTTTTCCAGTGATATGCATTTAGAGGTGGTGTATGTGTAACTTTGCAGATTAAATGGATGCTATTCACTCTGCTTTCTTGACAGGTATAATGTGTTGCATATTTCGAAGGGTATTGAATATCCAGGTGACATCCGTTGGCCCCTGGCTGCTTGTCTTTTACTGGCCTGGCTTATTGTTTATGCCTCTTTGGCCAAAGGGATCAAGTCCTCAGGGAAGGTAAGAAAACAGGTTGACTATTTTCTCTCCTTACTTTCTCCTCTCTAACTGGTAAGAGAGAAGTGTATAGCAGGCCTCTCTCTGGTCCAGTGAAAAACATTCATTTTCCTTCATTTTAACATAGTACATTGGGCCGAATTTTTACAGAACTTTCTTGTGTAGACAGTACACAAACTGTAAGTAATCAGAAATAATACTGATGTCACAAAGTAATTGTGTGTTAATTTGGCACAAGAAGTATTAGAAGGGTTAATAATGCTTTCTATGGCTGTAAGATAAGCAAAAGATTGGCAGTTTTCTTTCCTTAGATAAATTGCTAAAGAGTAGTATTCTCTTTGAGTGATAAATCTAGAGTAGCGTTAGTTCTGGCAGGTCACGTTAGTCAAGCTCGCATCAGCTGACTCTCAGCTGATCCCCATCAACCTATGGGAATACGACACCTATCTAAGTATTCATATATAAGGTCCCGCAGTAGTATCAGCAGTTTTCACATTGCTCAATATAATTACCCTCCTTCATCCCCAACTCCTCCTCTGTCAGTCAGGATTCAGCCTTCTGATTCTCCTTTGAATCAGACTAAAATGTGTACATAACATTATTGAACTTTAACGATATCTGCAATACATTTATGTTGGTTCTGTTCTGTTTACCCTGGGGGGGTTATCACTGCTCTCCCTGCTCTCATCCATGCTAGGCTGCATGGATGCGCAGGGAGTTCTTGCCCAGAACGGAACCATACCGCCAATCCAAACTGTACGCTAATTGTCAATCATCTTTGACGATAGTGGTCCTGACAGAACCGTTTTTCATTTTATATTGTATATGTGTCTTTTTTCAGGTGGTGTATTTCACTGCCACATTCCCCTATGTGGTGTTGGTCATCCTGTTGATCCGAGGGGTCACTCTACCCGGAGCCGGTTCAGGGATCCTTTACTTCATAACACCCAAATGGGAAAAACTTAATGATGCCAAGGTAATAAAAAGCATGGTGTATTTTTATTTATTATATCTGATGATACAATATTTAATATATTGTCCTCCAGAATTAATCTTATTTCTCTTTCTCCATCTGTCTATCTTTGGTTCTTTCTCTCTTTCACTTGAACTGTAGGTGTGGAAGGATGCTGCTACACAGATTTTCTTCTCTCTGTCTGCAGCATGGGGTGGTCTTATAACTCTGTCATCCTACAATAAGTTCCATAACAACTGTTACAGGTAACCAGTGCTGTCACTTTAGAATACACTACTGTTCAAATGTTAGGGGCAGTACAATTTTTAATTAAATAATTAAACCAATAACCAATAATTAAGGATGCATTACATTGATCAAATGTGAAAGCAAAGCCATTTATAAGGTTACAAATGATTTTTATTTCAAGTAGATGCTATTATTTTGAACTTTCTATTCATCAAATAAATGTAAAATGTGCAGATGTATCACATTTTCCACAAAAATATTAAGCAGCACAACTGTTTTAAAAACTGATAATAATAAATGTTTCTTGAGCAGCAAATCAGCATTTTAGAATGATCTCTGAAGGATCATGTGACACTGAAGACTGGAGTAATGGCTGCTAATAATTCAGTTTCGCTGTCTCTCAGGAATAAATCACGCTTTAAAATCTATTCAAAAATAAAAAATAATATAATGTTTGAATAATATTTCACAATATTACTATTTTTATTGTATTTTTTATCAAATTAATGCAGTACTGTATAATATTTGAATGATCAAATGTAAACAAATGAGTCTCTGTAATCAAGAGGATAAATATTATTCTTTCATATTCATTTCAAAACTAAAACTGCAAAAGTAACTGGCATTGTGCACATTCAATAGACACATCTGCTCAAAATAACATCTGTGTCTTATGAAAATGATTTATGATGTGAGATTACATGATGTGCTCTGTCTCTGTTGTTTTACAGGGATACTCTCATTGTGACATGCACTAACAGTGCCACAAGTATTTTTGCTGGTTTTGTCATTTTTTCAGTTATTGGCTTCATGGCTCATGAGCTCAAAGTCCCGATTGAGAGTGTGGCAGATGAAGGTATGTAGTATGAATGCATGTGCTCTGGCTGGTGATTTATGATGAGCTATGATGTCTGATTTGTTTTTTGTTTTTAGTGAAGATACACAAAACTCATCACATTGTCATTGTTTTTTCTATCATGAGACCTAAAAGGCATTTGATCAGTCTGGTTTGTTAATATGCTCTTTTTGTGTAGGTCCAGGGATTGCGTTTGTGGTCTACCCAGAGGCTCTGACTAGGTTGCCCTTGTCACCATTCTGGGCCATCATCTTCTTCCTCATGCTGCTTACACTTGGTCTGGATACCATGGTAATGGAAATCGTAAATTGTATGATTTACATTTTTTTCTTTGGTTGTAATGTGTTTACAGAATAAAATACAATAAATAACTGAATCGCTTTTCGTTCACACTTTCATTCCTCTCCAGTTTGCCACCATAGAAACTATAGTGACGTCTGTTTCTGATGAGTTCCCCAACTACTTGCGCAAACACAAGCCTCAGTTCACTTTGGTTTGCTGTTTGTCCTTTTTTGTGCTGGGTTTCCCCATGATCACTGAGGTAGGACATTTACTCTTATTCCTAACTGCCAAAACTTTACCTTTATAGGACACTTTAATTAAAGCAGCTCTCTGGTAAACAATAAAAAACTAACAGGAAAGTAAATAGACTGCAATGGAATTCCAAAAGCAAATAATTGGAAAGGTCTAGAATGATTGTTCGTTAGTTTGTTTTTGTTTTTAATTAAAGTGATTCACTGGGCAATTTTTAGATTAGGACTCATCTATTTTTATTTTAAAGTGTGCATATGTGTGTGTGTTTTCACGCACAGAGTGGAATGTACATGCTTCAGCTGGTGGACACATTTGCAGCCTCTTACTCTCTGGTCATCATTGCCATATATATGTTTTTGTTCATTATGATGATCTTGAACAAAAAGAACAAACCAAATGAAGAAAACTTTTATGAATTTTGAAGTCGAAATACAATCACCAGAAGTAAACAGCTAAACGAAAGCTATAAACAAATTACACCACAGTCGCATGACTTCAGCGTCACCATCACTAAGCTTTGGAAAACTCTTTCAATCTTTATTTGAAAACATTAAACATTTTCCCTGAAAGTTTGAGCTGAAATGGTTTGCAAGAGCGATGGAACCAGAAGTGCTAAAATGCCCACTGACTTACTTTCTTTTTGTTTCTTTCTTTCTTTCTTTCTTTCTTTCTTTCTTTCTTTCTTTCTTTCTTTCTTTCTTTCTTTCTTTCTTTCTTTCTTTCTTTCTTTCTTTCTTTCTTTCTTTCTTTCTTTCTTTCTTTCTTTCTTTCTTTCTTTCTTTCTTTCTTTCTTTCTTTCTTTCTTTCTTTCTTTCTTTCTTTCTTTCTTTCTTTCTTTCTTTCTTTCTTTCTTTCTTTCTTTCTTTCTTTCTTTCTTTCTTTCTTTCTTTCTTTCTTTCTTTCTTTCTTTCTTTCTTTCTTTCTTTCTTTCTTTCTTTCTTTCTTTCTTTCTTTCTTTCTTTCTTTCTTTCTTTCTTTCTTTCTTTCTTTCTTTCTTTTTCCTTCCTTCCTGTATTTGTGGTGCAGGTCTACAGCGGTTCTGTGAGGATATTGAGATGATGATTGGGTTTCAGCCAAACAAGTTTTGGAGAATCTGCTGGGCCTTTGTCACACCAACCATTCTCACAGTATGCCCACCTTATTCCTTTTATGACCATTCCTGCAGATAGCTGTGACTCCCATCCAATGCTATTGCATGCACACATTCATCCGTACTATTACTGTTAGTACTGCCACTGACCACCCCCCACCCCCTCCCCCCTCTATCTAGTTTATTTTGGCACTCAGTCTGTACCAGTGGAAGGTGATGACATATGAGGATTACACTTATCCGACCTGGTCTATGGTTCTCGGCTGGCTTATGGTCATCTGTTCTGTCATATGGATTCCCATCATGTTTGTTATTAAGATGTACCTTGCCCCTGGATCGTTAATTGAGGTAAGGGAGAGATGTTTGGGTTGTTTTCTATTTGAGGGTTATTTAAAATTGCTCAGTACTGCTATTTAATAAGTAAATGGATAGTTTATTAAAGTTTCAGGAAAAGTGTTCAGTCCAGGTACTTTCCTCTCCCCCCCCCCCCAAAGTTTTTCAGCATTTTAATCACCTTATGCCATCATTAGTTCATTGCAGTTAGTCCTGTGGAATGAAAGCCAGTGTTATTTTAATATCGCTAAGATAGTATTATAGTTTTTACTAATATTTTGGATTAGTTTTTATTTTTTAATTTTATGTTTTCATTTTAATTTTAGTTAAAGTTTAGTGATTTTGTTGTGTTTTTGTCCATTTTATTAGTTTTTTTATGTCTATATAGTTTATTCATTTTTATTTCAGTTTCAAGTTTAGTTTTTTTTTAAGTTCACCAAGCTTAACTGAATAAAAATGAGAAATGTTGCTGAAATAAAATAAGTGTAAGGATTTAAACGTTTATTTCAGTTAATAAAATAACTGAAAATTTCAGTTAATTTCATTACTAACCCTAAGTAATGAAACCATTATTTTATGGTTTTAGTTCTAGTTTTACTGTAATAAATAAGAACTAAATTTTTGCATGCATAATACTTATAAAACAATTATCAAAATCGATATAAAACAACATGTTTTATGCACATGTACAATGTTAACAACAAAATTATGAATCAAAGTAATACTTTTTCAGTAATTCTTTTTTTTTTTTTTAAGATCAAACAAACGTAATGAATTAATCGATATGCAAACCAAGCACCCTGCATGCAATTTTGACGACCATTCTCCTTGTCTACAGCGTTTGAAGTTGGTGTGCTCTCCTCAGCCCGACTGGGGTCCATTCCTGATGAAACACCGCGGGGAACGCTACAAGAACATGATCGACCCTCTGGGCACCAACTCCCTTGGCCTCAAACTTCCCCCCAAAGATTTCCAGCTATCAGCCCAATATCAATAATCCTCCTCAATTCCCTGTGAGTGTGAGATTCCCTGAGGCCTCTGAGGGTGAGACCAGCACTCACGTCAATCTCTTTCCCCATTCAACCTCCCCTTTTTTCCATAATGTTCTCTTTCAGCCATATTCCCCCTCTTCTGGCACTTTTAGAGGGGTCTTTCAGGTGGAAAGCACAGACAACTCCCTATGATTTTGTTGTTTTCTGAATAATTATTCATAGTCAATCTGAGAGTAGAGGTCTTTTGCGCACATTCTGATACACCGATCCCAGCTGAACCTTTTTCTCAGAGGCAATATAGTGATGCAGTTGCTACTGTTGAGGCAATATTTGACTGATTGTGCATCATGCAGTGGTTGTTTTTTAATTATTTTTTCATTCCGAAGTGACTGCTGATGTTAAAAAGAAAAAAAAAATAGGAGAATAACGTTTATATTTCTTGTCTATTTGCTTGTCATCTCTTAAATGTAGCAGACATAATGATAACAAATGCTGAGTAGTGCACAGTGAACTCGAACACTTTTCTGGTATCGTACTATCGCTCTCCACTCATAGCCGTATACCTTGTGCCTCAGACTTCCTCTATTTATAAAATACTGCATTGTGCTAATTAAACCAATCGTACTACATTATGGAGGGAAGTGAGCACATTTCAGTCTCTGTGAATTATAAGCTATCCTACTCTTTTACTAACCTGTCAGAAATATCTCTACAATGTTATAGAAGCCAAACTCATAGTGTAGGCTCCAGTAGTATAGATCCATCCCTGTCTTCAAAGAAAACGTAGCCATGCAAAACTGTAATGATGCCTTTCAGTGTTGTTTAGAGTAGTACTCAATGGCCAACTAGCGGTTATATATGTATACTGATATTTAGAGTATGCTTTCGAGTTTGTGTCGTGATCTGTTTATATACTTTGTGAATCCTCCTATTCTTATGCAGTACGCAGTTATAGTGGAGTACACAAAAGAAAAGTAGAGGAAAAACAAGGAGTGTGGTATGTATGGCAAACCAGTCGTCTCATAAAAAGTGTAAATTTGAGAAACTTCATCTAGTTGACATGCTAGTTTTAACAACTGCTTGCAGAGGATATGTAGATTAGAAAAAAACAACAACAAAAAAACAAAACAAATGTTCTTAATTTGAAATCCTGTGATTGGGGACCACACTCCTTTTTATTTTTTATGTTTTGCACCTGTTTGTCTATTCATCTTCATGAAACAGGGTCTCAGGTATTACTCCATTCTATCAACCTTATTAGATGTTCGATGCTTGTGGAAACTTGATGTGATTCACATATAACTAGGGCTGCACGATGAATCGTATTTTAATTGTGGTTGCGATTTCTGCTTCTCTCTATTTATTAAGCATGATCGCCTGTGATATTTTCCCCGCCGGTTATTATCCTGAAAACCTTTCAATTTAATTTAGCATTTGCATTATCTTACGTTGGTAACATACTTCTGTTCATGGTTGCTGTTGCCAGATTTCAAGAGTTTAAATGCCCCAGTCAGAGTATTTTTTCATAAATCAATACATGGTTTACTTAATCTTTCCAACCATGTGTACACGCTCACTCTACATTATGGAAAAAGTACAAATGAGCTGAAAACACCGGCAAACATGTAGGTTGGAGTTTAGAGATATCTATTGAGATAATAAAAGTGCAATACAACCAGTCTGGTTTCCTTCAGGCAGCCGTTTGTGCTGTTTGCTGCAAGCAAACTATGTGAGTTGACTTTCTCTTGATTTGTGTTTATGTGAAAGTGTAATTTTCTGGTGAAATTAAAAAATGTATATTTGAGCAAAGAATTTGTGATCAACCATTTAACCATTATCGTGCAGCCCTACATTACATAACCGATTCTCTATAAGATTTGTAAAAATGCACACTTTCAGAATATTATGCCATATTGACAATTTGAATTCTTATATATCTTATAATTAGTGTTCCGTTTCTAGCTATGTTCCATATCTAGTTGTGCTGATCAGTCAAAGCACTACAAAAAGCACTTTGATTAAACATTACATAAAATAAGTGTTTGTTCACCACCACAATGAAAAAAAGCCAAAAAAAAAATACTACTTTTTTGTTAGTTCAACATGAATACTTAAATGATTAGTACTGTGGAAATGATTTAGTTAGTATCATGTGAAAAGAGCCACACTGCCCACGCAATGCAAATAATAACACTGAGACTTTGCCTGGGAGTGATGTGTTTCAAAAGCCATGTAATATGCAGATACTACACTAATCACCTTGAATATAAAGCATTTATAAAACAGAAAAAAGAAAAAAGGTATTCCTCAGTATATTAGTGTCGCAAAAGAGATGTTTTTTCTGATACATGTTTAATCTATGTTGTATATGTGTGTGTGTGAGAATGTGTGGAATAATATGCAGTGCTTAATGTTTAGAGTTATACTTATCCAGCCATCCAGACGTGGTCACATGCAGCCTGGCACTAAGTTTTAGGTTTTCATAGGGCTTGGTTCCTATACATTGCAATTGCATTTTTTCATCTGTATACACAAGAGCTGATTTGTACTCAAATAGAAGCTCTGGGTTACGTAGCACAACAAACAGTATACAATGCACACGAATAGTAGACGGCTGCTGTGGACTGCGGTCATAATATTTGAGGTTCTGGATGGAGTTTCTGTTAGTCCTTGTGTTGCTGTACGTCTGTCTGAGAGCTATTGTTACAAGCCCTTCACTTAACAAATATTCTGTGGGGAAAAAAATAATAGGTAACAGTCTTGCATGTGCTGTTTGTGTTGATGTGGATTATTTGTCCATGTATGCTTCCCCTTTACGCTCCTTTTTCTCGAATGTGTCCCTCACTTAGCAGCTGCAGCTGAGTTTACCACCTATTCCTACCTACAGGGCGACACTGGGCAGTAGGCAACCAAAGAAGGAGAACTTCTCAAAGGGTTCTGAAAAAAAAAGCTTAAAAAAGAACATATATTCTAAAAGAAAATACATATTTTAGACATATATATATATATATATACATATACAGTATATATATACACAAATAGCCTATATGAAGAAATTAAATATATTATTCTGTGTATTTAGGAGACTGAGATACTGCCACTCATCCTTCATTTAGTGGTCATTATTGATGTGTGTCAATATGTTATATGACATCTTCAGGTAACCTTTGGCCTTATAGATGTCCTCTGGTAATAAACTATTATGTGTATTTCAGAATAGCTTCCAATCAGTCATTATGTGGTCAGTCTATATTGTAATGTATGTCGTGTCATTTGGCACTTTACTGTGGACCTATCGGAGTATAGGTAAAATTTCTTATTACTTGGGTAATGTCATATATTTCTGTGTGTTTTACATGAGGGAAATCTGCCTATGGATACAGATATGTACCTCCAATAGATCATGGCATCATTTCAGTTGAATTGTAGAGTATAAATATGAAAAATATCTAGATTTTAAATCCTGTGCCGGACAAAAAAAAAAGAAAAGCAAAATGTATAAAAATAGGAAAATAAACATATATGTAAAGGCATAATTTATTTTAAATGTCATTAATCCTTGAGGCCCTACCTCAGATTTTGTATTTATGTATAGAAATGCAATTTGAATCATAGTATCTTTGCCAATAATACAATAAAATACCATATTTATCATAAAATGTATAACCTCTTAATCAATAAATAAATGTTAATGTTTTCAACTCCAGTTGTGTTCTTATATGCCTGTGGTGGTTTAAGTAATAATTTGTTCATGTGCACACATACAGTACAAACTTACACATGCTTGGGTGATGTGAGACAGACAATTTTAAAGAAAATTTAAAGAAATTACATATCAAGAAGAAATGTCAACAGAAGTATTTTTGAGAATTTGTCAAATAAGTACACTGAAAAAAAAGACCTTTCAAAGTTGTAAATAAAACAAAGATTACTGGAGTATGTTTTACAAAGAAAATTCTATTTCAGTCATTCAACTTCAAGATTTCACATTTAATTCATTGTGTTACTTGCTGTTTATTTGTAACTATGTGTCAAATTTACTAGCAATTTCTGAGTGAAAATTAAGTAAATCCTACACCCTTTTTTCAGTGTACTGTACGGTACCCTCCTGCTCTTAAGTGTTTTTCATGCATATGAATCATTAGTACACTATAGCACTTGATCGAAAACTAGTTACATTTTCTGATGCATTAGACAACAGAAATATTGTACAGTCAGTTGGGCATGACATTGCAGACTGTTCTAGTACACAGCATATTTACTACACAGCACAAATTATACAGGTCAAAACTGGCATTTAGCATTTTAATTGTCAGATTTTTTATTTTTTTTAAATTGGATATGCTGTAGGTCAATTCCTTAGTGTCTCACAGCTCCATATGTTGCCTGGGGCTCTTGATCTTTTTTCGGTCTCTGTTTAGTTTTCCTCTGATTGTGAGCAAATGTTAATGCAACATAGTTAAAAAAAATGTAAAAGATAGATTACAACATTTAACAGCTTTTAAATATTTGTAGAATGTATAGAAAAGTTCTTACATTCTGACTTGCATTAGTTTGTGACATGCCTGAAAAAATTTGACAAAAGTGAGATTAGAAAAACAAAGATTGTGCATGCTTTGAAAATTCCAGTATATGCGGCAAATAAATATTACCTGCTCTATGCTTCTTTGAGATATAACACAGTATGACGTTGAGAAGTATCGACGCCGCAATGACTGTCACCAGTGTTGGCAGAACATAGACAGACTCTTTGCCTACTATAAGATGAAATATAAAGTATGTTTACATTATCTTTAATTATTCTGGTAACACTTTACATTAATGTGCTAGCATGAACAAACAATGACATTAAATATGTTGTACTTCATTTATTATTCTATGATAATGTTAGTTTAATAAAAATACAATAATTATGTTACTACAAATACCATGTTAATGTTTGTTTAATAAAAAAGCTCATTGTTCATGCTATTTCACTGTATATTAACAGACACAACATTGAATGCAAAATTTTATGCAAAAATTTAAAATGCTAAATTAGTGAATGCTGAAATGAACATTAAGATTAATAATGTTACCATTATTCTTTTAAATTATTACAAACAACTGTAAAAGTACACTGTAAAAATTGTAAATAAAACAAACTGGAATATGATTAAGAAAACACATGGGTCAAAGACGAAAAGGGTTTAAGCATAAAAACAATAAGTGTAATACTGCTTTAAAATGTTGTTGTTTTTCCCGAACAAAATGTAAATTTTAAATAAATAATTTAATTGCAATTTTGTTTTTGTTTTTGTTTTTCTGAGCAAAAAGTAAATGTCATACATTTCCCCCTGATTTACAGAAGAGACCCACTAAAATGTCATTCAGTGTAACA